TCCCCTTCCGCCTTTTGCTCACGCTCCTGCCAGAATTATCCATCTAGAAAAATACTTGGCTCTTTGAGTTGTCCACTTGGCTCTTTGAGTTGTCCCTGTGACCTGAGTTCTCCCTGTGAGAGTAAGCTCCTCAGACTCTTTGGGAACTAGACCCTACCAGCATCTTGACATTCCCACCTTGATAACCCCCCACCCATTCTGTAAACAGATATCCATCAGCCTGGAAATACCCTCCCTCCTACTCCATCTGGGTGTTCCTGGACTTTACAACTCGGCATCATAGACTCTAAACCAAATTACCTCTTCCCCATCCCCGCCCCTTACCCTCAAATATGGTCCCACAGCTCCCTGAGCTGCCACCTCATACCGTTTATCACTCCAGAAGATAATACCATAGTAGTTATTAATGCAGGCTCTTAAAGTTAGACTTCCTGGATTGTAATCCTTGCCATGCTGCTTACCAACTATATAAACTTGGGCAAGTTACTTAACTTCTCTGCGCTTCACTTTCCTCACCTGTAAAACATAGATAATAATGCTTCTAGTGAGGATGAAATACAATGGTCCACATAATGTACTGAGAACAGCACCTGACACATAAGTGACCTCCTACTATCTAAATGGTAGCTGTTATTATCATCTATTTTATAAGTTTTTTGTTTGGTTCTCCCATGAGACATATTGGCTGGATCACGATGGCATTTCTCTTTCAATCTCTGGTAGCTGGCAGAGACAAGCATATAATAGGTCCTTAAAAAGGTTTGGCTGTGATGGAAAGATGGATGAGTGGATGACAGATTGATTGTTGGATGAATGAGTAGATGAGCACATGGATGCTTTGATGAGTGTGTGGGGTTATGGGCTAGACGGATAAGTAGATGTATAGATTGTTAAGTGGATGGAGGGATGGAGGGATGGAAGAGTGCATGGGTGGGGTTATGAACTAGATGGACAGGGAGATGGTCAAGTGGATGGTTATATAGACAACTTAGTCTTGTTTAAGTAGTATGAGACAAAGGGAAGCTATACCTCAAGTCATTCTTGTCAGCCAGCTGAAGATTCCACAGTATGTGATTTATTAAGTTTGGGTTTTTCTCTTTTTTTCCCTGAGCACAGCTGTCTTCCTGCTCAGGATCTTTGGTCTCAGGCAATCTGTTAACTTGCAATATCACTGTATCCTTGTAAATTTAGACCTTCAGTAAATCTTCAAGCCTGAGAGAAAGGACACATGTATACTCTGTTTTGATCCTTTCCCTGGAAGACTTTGCAGTTTCATTTGGAAAACATATTCAATTAATAGAAGCTCGTCAGGTGCCGTCATTCTGGAGTTGCCTTGAAGCTGAGTCAGGGGTAGCACTGGCTTTGGGTGACATCCAGGATAACTCAGCTACTTGGCGGAGGTGAGTTGAAGGTTAAGGAAGCATGTTGGAATGAGGAGGTGGCCCAGGCAGAGGTGAGTCCTGAAGATTGAGAGCAGAAAACCAGAGGGCCCAGAATGTCGAGACCCAAGAGTGTAGCCTGGGGCTGCTGACTGTGAGAAAATCCTGGCTCACGATGGAGGCCTTGCAATTGGTCCCCAAATACACAAAGTATTAGACCTAGTGAGGGGTGACCTCTTAGAGCCTCAGATTCCTCAACTAAAAATTGAGGAAGAGTAGTACCTGCTCCATAGGGCCAGGTGGAGGATTAAAAGAGATAAGGCTTGTGGCATCTCAGTGCCTGACCCGCTGTGTTGCCCAACATATATCTATAGTCTTTCTTCCTCGAAGCCAGCACAGGCTAGTGGTCCAGCACATGAGCTTTAGAGGCATGTTGCTACCAAGTCCAGTTACTAACTGTGTGATCTTAGGCAAGTTACTTAACCTTCTTTGCCTCAGTTTCCTCATCTGTGAAGTGGGGATGATAATAATACCTATCTCTCAGGATGGTTGTGAGGAATACACAAATTAATGTATGGTGAGAGCCTACAGCAGTGTGTGGCACATAGTAAGTGCTACATAAGTATTCTCATTTTATTACTAATTTGTTAAAATTTTATTACTATTTTTAATATTCCTAAGTAGGTGAACACTTTGTTCCTGGTCACCAGAGTGAGAAGCAGCAAACCTTTTATCTGTGGGTAAGGGGAGAACATAAACTCCCCTTTGTTGTTTTTGTTTTTTTGTTTTTTTTTGCCGTACGCGGGCCTCTCACTGTTGTGGCCTCTCCCGTTGCGGAGCACAGGCTCCGGATGCACAGGCTCAGCGGCCATGGCTCATGGGCCCAGCCGCTCCGCGGCACGTGAGATCTTCCCGGACCGGGGTACAAACCCGTGTCCCCTGCATCGGCAGGCGGACTCTCAACCACTGTGCCACCAGGGAAGCCCGAACTCCCCTTTGTTGAAACCTAGTATATTTCAGATGTTTAATATATTCTAATATTAAATTAGATTAATGTATTTTACTTAAAATACTTTGTGTATTACATACCATATATAATTGGAAAGTAATTTAGATTAATATAATGTTAATGCCCACCATGACTCTTGGGAATAGATCATTATTGCCCCCAGCGTTGAGATGGAGAAATTGAGGCTCAGAGATACAGCGACTTGCTCGAGGCCATGCAGTCAGCAAGTGGTGGTTCTGGGATGCTAAGACTTATCATATTTCCACTCCTCAAAGCTGTTTAAGCTGGCAGTTATCCATGCCGTTCACCTTGGTACACGGATCAGGAAACAGAGATCCAGGCAGAGGCATTGACGTGCCCAAGATGTCACAGAGAGCAAGCGAAAGAGCTGAGATCAGAACACTGGCCCTCCATTCTCTGTGCAGTGTTCTTGACAATATGGAAAACAGAGATGTCTGTGAGTCTCCATCAAATGGATCCTGAGCTTTCTGCCCCTGAGGAATTACACTCCCAGGCTCTGGACCACAGAGCCAGAAATGAAGAAGAGGAATGGTCACTTTACAGTGCCAACCTTTTATGGTTGGTGGAGGGGCTTGGATGACTTATATGGGCTGTTCCAGATCCCACCCATCAGTTAGAAGTTCTTCACCCCTTTCATCATCTGGAGCCACTGTTCATTTGGCCAAAGATACTGCACAGTTTTATGAGTAACCCGATCTTGCTGCACTATGGTTCATTTTCCCCAGCTCAGCCTCCCAAGGAGGTACGGGGCTTCCCTTCTGCCATGGTGTCTTACCTCTCAGATGTCACTTTCCTTCTGGATCTATGGAATTTGTCTCTCTTGATAAATGAAAGAAAGCCTAGAGATGGCCCTGCCTTGGCGACTTTGGCCAGTTCCTACTTAAGAGGGGGAAATTTGGAGCTCTGAGGACATGTTCCCACCCTGTGGACATAAAGACCGCATCTTCCTGTTGTAACCCAACTGGATAACAGTTGCAATTAACCGAATAACTCAAGAAGGAAGCAAATCATTCTTGCCTGTTCAGATGGATATTTGGGGACCTGGATTATTCAGCAATTTTTCTCAATCCACAAATGTATCAGTTATTGTCAGTGGAGCTAAGTCTGTAAAATAAAAATGTTCCTATTTATTTTTCTACAAAATACGAAAAGTTATAACAAAGGGAATATCACGGGCTTATTTGTTTTTCTTTTATTGTTCAGAAGCCAAGAGCTAGAAGAGACATATTGCAGGCAGTGATTTTTCAACCATTCTTTTGGAGAGTGGAATTCTTAGTTGTGTGAAATCTTAAATGAAATGCCAATTTATGAAACAGATTGAAATGGAGAAGCTCCGAATGTGGTGGATGGCAGAGAAGCAGCAGCCCTACCTCAGTACCCGCCTCCCCATTACAGTGATGCTGTTCTGCAGAATCCTGGGAACACGGTTTGAATATTAGTGATTTAGTTCAACTCACCTAAGGATCATATAAGAAAATGCCGGCACAGAGAGTTTGTTCAAGTTGTAGTCTGTTCAAACTGAAGTTTGGAATTCCTTTCTTTTAGTGCAGTGGTTTTTCATGATGAAGTTTGAATGTTGTTCTGGTTTTCTCCTGATAATGTAACAAACTACTTCCCAAAATTTAGTGACTTAAAAATAAGCCATGAAAGTTAGTGATTTGTTTTTCTCATGAATCCGTACTTTGGCCAGGGTTTGAAGGGAATGACTTATTTCTGGTCTGTGATATCAAGGGTCTCAGTTGGCGTAATCCAGTTGGCTGGGGCGGGAACAGCCCGAGGTTGGCTGGATGTCTCTTGCTGTTCATACAGGCTTAGGGCCTCTCTGTGTGGTTTCTTCACATGGTCCCTTCAGACCACAGCAAGCTCAGGATACTTAGACTTCTTACATGGAGGCTCAGGGTTCCAAGTGAGAGTTCCAAAGACCCAGAAAGAGCTGCAAGGCTTCTCTATCTGTCCTATCCTAGAAAGTCCCAGAATGTAACTCCACTCACGTTCTGTTGGTCACCCAGGGCCAACCCTGATTCTGTGTGGGCACTAACATGGGCGTGAGTGCTGGGAAGTGTGGATCATTGGGGAGCCATCTTGGATGCTGGCTACACAGTTTCCTTTCTTTTGGTGTGACGTTACTAAGTAGATTCTGATGTGATTTGACCTAAAACAGGGAAGATAAAAGTCATTATGGTTTTCCTTAGATCTTAGGAGCACTGTCATGTGGAAGAGTGGTAAACTAGTTCTAGAATGCCACAGAAATCTGACCCAAGACCAAAAAGTTATAATTATAAGGAAGCTAGTTTAACCGTAAGAAAGAATTTTCAAACGACTAAAACAACCAAATGCGATGTGGCTTCCTCTGCATGAGTAGTGAGTCTCTCCATCATAGGAGAAGTCTTTCTTCTACCGCTGAAAGTGTCTGATTCTCGGGGACGATGACTGGTTGAGAAACTTGCATCTCCTTCAGTTTAGGGATGCTGAAATACTATGTGCATTTCTAAGAACCAAGATTTCCTATAAATCTAATTCTTGTTTGTTTGTCTTTTCTTTTCCCCCCTTTTTTGGACATTTCCATCATCTGACTACCCATCAATATATAGAAGAAATGCTTATTCCTACTCCTATTACTTGTAAGTATCGATCCGGGGTGACGTTGCTTTGTGCCCTGTAAGGCAACCTGTAGCATGCATTTCCTGCACCAACCGTCTGTTGGTTTCTCATACTCACTTCCGTCTAAGCCACCTGTAGCCTCAAAGTTTTTATTTTGCCTAGATGTTTTCCATTTGAAAATGCACTGTCCATGTTGAAAATGTTCATGTCTGTTATGTTTCTGCCATCTTGGATCTTTTCCCCTGTTTTTGAAGATGTGAAGGGCTGTTTCTCCTTTGTCAGTGTAATTCTCTAGTTAGAAATCCTCAAATTCCAGCAAGAGGAAAACATAATCCTCCTGCAGGATTTGCACACATAAAACAAAATCACTGATCTCGGCAACTTCAAAGCCCATTTGTACGTACTTGGGGAACGTGTAGCCCTAGGGGCTCAAAGATTAGAAGGAAATTCATTGGCTGTTTCCACTATTTCAGGAAGTCTACAGGGAATCGTGGCTTTATCTAGAATCAGCTTCACAGGTGACAGAAATATACTCGGTCTTTGGGACTGGAATTATCTCAGTCTGACGTTTATCATTAGTTATGTCATGCTATCAATGCATTTTGTTGGTAGTTATAGATGGCTGATTGCCTAACAATTCTTTCTAAATAAAGACGATGATTTTTCTTATTACAAAACCAGACGTTTTCACAACATGAGGGTAACGGAGAAAAACTCCATAAATAGATCTTTGGTAATGAAGAGTTAGAAAACCACTGAATTAGTTTCACATTTCTAATAGGCATTTTCCATATTTGAAAACTGAGGTCCAGAGAAGTGTGTGAAATCACGCTCCAGTTAGCAAAAGAGTGAGATTAAAACTCAGAATGCCTCACTCCTTGTAAAGTCCATTATCCATCATTCTGTGTCTTCCTCCACCGCTGGCAAACCCAGCTTTGTGAGAGAGACCATATCTGTTAGTGATCATCTGCTGAAGCCTTCACAGATGAGGATGGAGCCAGCAAAAGCCTCCCCATCCCTCTGCTCAGTGTTTGGGTCCCTGGTCAACAGGTCCACGCAGGGAGCAGATGAGATTCTGGTATCACCACCCTCATGTTATATAGGAACCAATGAACGCCGGCCACCGACACTGAAAATGCCAGAAACCTTGCTTCGTTTGTTCATTCATTCATTTGACAAATAGGCATTGAACATGCACATTATGTTCCAGACACTGTGGATGGAGAGATGGCCAGGACTTTGAGCCTCACCCTCACAGTACACAAGCCTGTCAGAGAGACTAGCCTAACATCAAGTATCGATACTTGAAATCTCGGCGGAGGTGTACCATGGAATAGGGGCACTTAGTCGGGTGACCGTTTTTTTAGTGGAACAGGGGATAGTTATCAGTGCTTTTAGAGATGGATTTATCCAGTACTGAAGAAATAAGAATTCTGAGCAGGGAAAACAGCACATGCAAAAGGCAGAGAGGTGTGAGACAGTGCGGGCTGCTGTTGCTGTGGTGGAAAGAGTCATGCAGCTCTGGGTTCAAGTCACATCTCTGTCAGTCACCAGTTACGTGGCTTTGAGCAAGATTTCTGAACTTTTTCAGCCTCATTCCTCTCAACCCTAAAATAGGGGTGAAAGTGCCTAACTCGTAGGGAATGAGGGATTTTGTGAGGTGCCTTGCAAAAAAAGTGGCACTCGTGAAATGTTAGTTTCTGTCTTTCCCCTTTCAGAAACCATAAGGAGTCAGGGCAGTAGTGGTGGCCCCTGGGGGCTCTTCTGGTCTTCTAGAGGTCCTCATGGCATCAATGTTCCACAGCAGGTGTGGGCATGCAATGCCTTCTGGGCAACTCACCCCCTCAGTCCGTTAGCCAGTGTACATAGCACTGTCTGGATGCCCGCTTTGTACCATTCTCTGTGCTGGACCCTGTAGTGAAATCAAAGATGAACGATGTGGAGATATAGATATGCAAGTCCTTATAGTTCGAGTTGCAGTGATAAACAGGGGCTTCCAATGGGTGCAGACTTGGAGTTCTAAGTGACAGATCCTAGATTGTGACACTCAGGCCAGCTCAGGAGCTGGCCATGGTTAAAGGTTCAGAGGGGGAGAAGAACTGGCGAAGCAGACAGCAAGGTAGGAGGAGCACCATTAAAACCAAGCGAAACCCGTTGCAGAAGGAGGACTTGACAGTAGCAGATGCTGCAGAGAGAAGGAAGTGGAGGGCTTGGGCGTGGCCCTTGACCATCAGAAGTCACTGGTGCAGGTCATGGGGTAGCCTTGAGGGAGGAAGCCAGCCTGCCAGGACGCATGAGGTAGATAACTTCTTCTTAACCAGTAGGCCCTAAAACAGAGGAGAACGTGAGACTGGCCACTTGAAGGGCCAGAAAGTCCTGGGCATGTGTATACGTAGAGGAGCCTGTGCAGAAGGGAGAGCTGCAGATGCTGGAGGTGGGGTGTCTCGAGAAGGGAAGGTCTGGAGGCAGAGTGTTGGGGGACAGGGAGCTGAGGAGGGGATGTGTGACAGGCCTTGTGAAACCATAGGAGGGAGCGATGCATGTAGATAGAGAAGGGGGAACAGAAAGGAAATGAGGACCCCCACGGTCTGCAGATTCAAAACTCCACTCCGCCACATCTTAGGTAGAGACCCTGAGTGGGTGCTTTAAACCCTTTCTACTCAAAAGTGTGGTCCATAGACCAGCACTGGCATCAAACAGGAGCTTGTAGAACTGCAGCACCTGGTGGCCCAGCTCAGGCCTCCTGAACCTGCATTGTAACAAGATTCCCAATTCCTTCATGAGCACATTAAAGTCTGAGAAGCACAGACTTACCCAGTCTCAGTTGTTTCATCTGTAAAATAGGAAACATAATACCATCCTCGCAGGGGTTAAGGCATCACCTCGTCCCTCTAAAAGCCTCAGAATCTTCCATGAAAGAGAAAGCCTCCAACACACTTGGGCTGAACAGTCTTTTCCATGAAATCCATATTTATTCATTCAACAAGTCTTTGTGGGGTTCCCACTTATGTGCCAGACACTGGTCAAGGTTCTGGGCTATAAGAGTTAGCTCGACAAACAAAAATCCCTGCCCACATGAAGATGTTTAGTGGGGGAGATAGAAAATAAATGACATACATGAGAAAAGCGGTATAGGTATTATGTAATGGCCAAGAGAGATAAGAAGAAAAATTAGATAAACCAGGGAAAGAAGATGTAAAGTGTAGGTGGGGGAGGAACAGAGGAATTTTTTTTTCAAAGCCAAGAGGCCCTCAGTGGCTCTCCCCCATTGAAAGGTCCCATACACGAGACCAAGGGTCCACAAACATTTTCTGTAAGGAGCCAGTAGTACATATTTTTGGCTTTATGGGTTCTCTGTTGCATCTGCTCATCTCTGATGTTGTAACATGAAAATAGCCATAGACAACATGTAAACGTTTGAGCATGGGTATGTTCCAATGAAACTTTATTTAAAACAATGAGACAGTGGGCCAGATTTGTCCTGAGGGCCATAGTCTTCCTATCCCTGCCCTAGACTTTTGAGATAGGGAGAGGATGGGGTTCAAGATTCATCCTGCTTTATGAGCTCCTACAATGTGCTGCACCATGTGTTAGCCACTGCAGACACAAAGGTGAATGCAGGGCAGCTGAACCAGCCTAGAAGGAGGCAGAAGTTGAAAACAATTACTAGCTGGTAGCTATGATGTACAGGGTTTATCTGATGCTCACAGCAAGCCCTGCGAGATACATGCTATCGTGTTGAGTCTATTTAGACGTTGAGACTGAGATTTGAGGACTTGTGTACATCCCACAGCCAGGAGGTGGCAGGGCTAGGGTTTGAATCCAGGACCACATACCCTCAAGCCCCGCCCATCCTTCTCACTAGACCTTCAGGGCTCCTGCCTGGACCATGTGCTTGGAGAGCCCTTAGCCAGGCTGTGGGAGAGCCAGGATTTGAGTGCAAGTGTGTCTGCCTCTACAGCCTCAGTTCTGTGCAGGGACATCTGTGCCTTGCTTGGGACAAGAAGTGGTAGCTATTCCTGGCTGGCAAGGAGGCCCTTGAGGTAATCCTGTCTTTGCTGTCCTGGGGACTTGCCATGTGGTCAGAGCTGAGAGCACAGGGCAGCCAGATCGGTGGTAGCCAAGGGAATAGAGTAAGGGGTGACCAAAAGAATGCTAATGACACGGATAAGTAGAGCTATAGGTAGAAGGCACTTTGGGACCCAGGGACAGAGGAGTCTAGAATGGGGTCCTTCACGGTCCAGTACACATTTTTAAAATTAAAATAATGTGGGTTTTGGTGTCAGACTTAGATCACAATTCTAGGTCTGCCTCTTCTTCCAGATTGTTCAGACCTTGAGCAATCGTGGAACCACTCTGAGCCTCAGTTTCTTCATCTGCAAATGGTGATAACAACTGTAACTTCCCAGCATTTTCATGAGGGGTAATGAGCGAGTGTATCTGTAGAGTGGCTGACACAAAGTAGGTATTTTATAAACAGCAGCTATTATTCCTCACCTCCTGAGCTGACAAAAATGCTTCTCTAGAATTCCTCTTTACCTTTCTGTAGTAAAGCAGCACCCAACAACTTCACTGTCTGCTTTTTGAAAGGATATTAAGAGTTGGTGTATGTTCATAGGTTAATTTACCTCAAGGCAGGTGATGGGCACAGTAATTGTTTTGAACAGAGACATTTTAGTGTAGTAGTTCTTGAAAAGGCACTAAGATGTTTACCAACCATTCTGGCAGAGAGAGAGTACTTAACTATTTCACTTCACCTGTGTGAGTGTCGCAGAGGCGGGTTCCTCCTGGCCTGGTCCCTGTGTGCAAACACTCCAGAACACTTGGGCTTTTCACATCCATCCTATTTCTCTCCATTCCAGCATATTTAAATCCTACACCTCTTCTTCAAGGTCCGTGTCAAACATTAGCTCCCACTGAAAGACTTCTCTGATTCTTTCCACCTGCAGGAATGTCCCTTTCTCCAATTCTCACCGCAGTCACTTTGTTATCATGGGCAGGAGCAAATGTGTCTTAAGGA